CTACCTCTCAGGGACATGGTCGGCCTCTTTGTCAGAAAAATCTGTCAGATTAGCTGCAGCAATGCCCATTTGGAGATGGTTTTCATCCCATAAAAAGGATGATTTTGGGGATGGTTTCTTAGCAAGTATGTATAACAAACCAAGTTTTTGGATGGTTTTAACATGTTCACCCCAATAATTACAATGAGAATTTTCTATAGTCATCCCATTCCATTATCATTCCATTTATTATTGGGTCTACCGTATTATCATGACAATATAGTGGGGATACAATGAAATATCACCATGTTTAATCGGTAAATCATCATAAATGAACTCATTTCATGGTGTAAATTGGCGTCGTATTTGTCATGGAACCAGTCAATGTATTCGGCCAGGCTGTTCAAGGCCGGTTGAATTCGAGGAGCAAATTGTTGAAAATCATCACTCATCACGGCAGTCAGCGGCAGATTTTCGCGAGGAAGGGCAAGAGCCGTGTTGGTTTGTATCTCCTGTTCTGGGAAAAACATATGTTCCATAAGGATAAGGCTGTGAGTGGGGCCACTCCAGAGGTGAAATAAAGAGTCCAAAAACTTTGGGCGACCAACACACTTAAGAATGGCGGTGAGGGCCGCCGCGATCGTCTCGAACTGACTGGCTGCTGTATCTTCATGCTGTTGCATGAAAGCTACTCCAATGGTTGCCATACGAAAACATGGTTTAGACATAGTGAAGATCTCCTATATAGTCATCCGTATAGTAATCCCATAATTTTCCCTGATTATTCCATACATTCCATTGGATTTCCCTCTGGTAAACTAACATAGCTATTGAATATTGCCATTTAGTTCGTTGATTTACCCATAAAAAGAGGTGAATCTCCATAGTTAGGTCAGTTTACCAGAGGGTATGTTCCAATCGAATCCCATGAAAGCCTATTAAATCCGATTATACAGTCTAGATATGTATATGTATATATATATATATACATATATATATATATATATCCGCCGACCCCGGCAGACGCAAGGGGGAGCGCGCCAGGGAATAAGACAAGCAAAGACAAGCAAGTTTAGCCGCACTAGCAGCAAGAGCAGCGGCAGCAGCAGCGGCAGCAGCAGCGGCAGCAGCAGCAGCAGCAGCAGCGATAGCATGCTGCTGAGTTTTTGTGCACCAGCTTCCCGGAACTCTTGTGGGTCGGAACTCTTGTGGGTCGGCCATGTAGGAATGCATGGCAGCAGCAGGCAGCAGCAGGCAGCAGCAGGCAGCAGCAGACACCAGCAGAGGCAGCAGCAGGCAGCAGCAAGCAGCAGCAGGCAGCGGCAGGCAGCGGCAAAGCAGCAGCACCACAGCAGCAGCAGCAGCCACCAGCAGCAGCACCAGCAGCAGGCAGCAGCAGGGAGCAGCAGGCAGGCAGCAGCAGGCAGCAGCAGGTAGCAGCAGGCAGCAGCAGGCAGCCGCAGGCAGCAGCAGGCAGCGGCAGGCAGCGGCAGGCAGCGGCAAAGTTGCAATTTTATTTATATAGTAGGGTTTCAGAAGTGACGTTAGGCCCTTTTTTGGGGTTCCTTTGCTACGTTTTGGGTACGAAATTAGGTGGTGCTTTGCTGTTTCGGATGTGCAGCAAGGAGCAGCAGGCAGCAGCAGGTAGCAGCAGGCAGCAGCAGGCAGCAGCAGGCAGCAGCAGGCAGCAGCAGACACCAGCAGAGGCAGCAGCAGGCAGCGGCAGGCAGCGGCAAAGTTGCAATTTTAAGTAGGGTTTCAGAAGTGACGTTAGGCTCTTTTTTGGGGTTCCTTTGCTACGTTTTGGGTACGAAATTAGGTGGTGTTTTGCTGTTTCGGATGTGTTTCGAAAAGGGTGTCTGGCTGTTTGTTTCTTGCTTTGGAGGCTGTTTGATTGCAGCAGCACCACAGCAGCACCACAGCAGCAGCAGCAGCAGCCACCAGCAGCAGCACCAGCAGCAGGCAGCAGCAGGGAGCAGCAGGCAGGCAGCCGCAGGCAGCCGCAGGCAGCTGCATTGGGGAAGACGGGGGAGAGGCAGCAGCAGGCAGCACAGCAGCAGCAGACAGACACCACAGGGCATCAGCAAGTCAGCGGCAGCAGCAAGACACAACCATCAGAGGCAGCAGCATGCAGCAGCAAGTCAGAGCAGGCAGCGGGCAAAGTTTCATTTTATATACGGGGGATTGGTTTTTCAGAAGTGACGTTAGGCCCTTTTTGGGGTTCCTTTGCTACGTTTTGGGCACGAAATTAGGTGGTGTTTTGCTGTTTCGGATGTGTTTCGAAAAGGGTGTCTGGCTGTTTGTTTCTTGCTTTGGAGGCTGTTTGATTGCAGCAGCACCACAGCAGTAGCAGCAGCCACCAGCAGCAGCACCAGCAGCAGGCAGCAGCAGGGAGCAGCAGGCAGGCAGCAGCAGGCAGCAGCAGGTAGCAGCAGGCAGCAGCAGCCAGCAGCAGACACCAGCAGAGGCAGCAGCAGGCAGCAGCAGGCAGCGGCAGACAGCGGCAAAGTTACAATTTTATTTATAGTAGGGTTTCAGAAGTGACGTTAGGCCCTTTTTTGGGGTTCCTTTGCTACGTTTTGGGTACGAAATTAGGTGGTGTTTTGCTGTTTCGGATGTGCAGCAAGGAGCAGCAGGCAGGCAGCAGCAGGCAGCAGCAGGTAGCAGCAGGCAACAGCAGGCAGCAGCAGGCAGCAGCAGGCAGCAGCAGACACCAGCAGAGGCAGCAGCAGGCAGCAGCAGGCAGCGGCAGGCAGCGGCAGGCAGCGGCAAAGTTGCAATTTTAAGTAGGGTTTCAGAAGTGACGTTAGGCCCTTTTTTGGGGTTCCTTTGCTACGTTTTGGGTACGAAATTAGGTGGTGTTTTGCTGTTTCGGATGTGTTTCGAAAAGGGTGTCTGGCTGTTTGTTTCTTGCTTTGGAGGCTGTTTGATTGCAGCAGCACCACAGCAGCAGCAGCAGCAGCCAGCAGCAGCACCAGCAGCAGGCAGCAGCAGGGAGCAGCAGGCAGGCAGCCGCAGGCAGCCGCAGGCAGCTGCAGGCAGCAGCAGGCAGCAGCAGACAACAGCAGAGGCAGCAGCACGCAGCAGCAAGCAGCAGCAGGCAGCGGCAGGCAGCGGCAAAGTTGCAATTTTATAGTAGGGTTTCAGAAGTGACGTTAGGCCCTTTTTTGGGGTTCCTTTGCTACGTTTTGGGCACGAAATTAGGTGGTGTTTTGCTGTTTCGGATGTGTTTCGAAAAGGGTGTCTGGCTGTTTGTTTCTTGCTTTGGAGGCTGTTTGATTGCAGCAGCACCACAGCAGCAGCAGCAGCCACCAGCAGCAGCACCAGCAGCAGGCAGCAGCAGGGAGCAGCAGGCAGGCAGCAGCAGGCAGCAGGGTTGCAGAAGTGACGTTAGGCCTTTTTTTGGGGTTCCTTTGCTACGTTTTGGGTACGAAATTAGGTGGTGTTTTGCTGTTTCGGATGTGTTTCGAAAAGGGTGTCTGGCTGTTTGTGGCAGCAGCAAGCAGCAGCAGGCAGCGGCAGGCAGCGGCAAAGTTGCAATTTTATAGTAGGGTTTCAGAAGTGACGTTAGGCCCTTTTTTGGGGTTCCTTTGCTACGTTTTGGGCACGAAATTAGGTGGTGTTTTGCTGTTTCGGATGTGTTTCGAAAAGGGTGTCTGGCTGTTTGTTTCTTGCTTTGGAGGCTGTTTGATTGCAGCAGCACCACAGCAGCAGCAGCAGCCACCAGCAGCAGCAGCAGCTGGCAGCAGCAGGAGCAGCAGGCAGGCAGCCGCAGGCAGCCGCAGGCAGCTGCAGGCAGCAGCAGGCAGCAGCAGGCAGCAGCAGACACCAGCAGAGGCAGCAGCAGGCAGCAGCAGACACCAGCAGAGGCAGCAGCAGGCAGCAGCAAGCAGCAGCAGGCAGCGGCAGGCAGCGGCAAAGTTGCAATTTTATATAGTAGGGTTTCAGAAGTGACGTTAGGCCCTTTTTTGGGGTTCCTTTGCTACGTTTTGGGCACGAAATTAGGTGGTGTTTTGCTGTTTCGGATGTGTTTCGAAAAGGGTGTCTGGCTGTTTGTTTCTTGCTTTGGAGGCTGTTTGATTGCAGCAGCACCACAGCAGCACCAGCAGCAGCAGCAGCAGCAGCAGCCACCAGCAGCAGCACCAGCAGCAGGCAGCAGCAGGGAGCAGCAGGCAGGCAGCAGCAGGCAGGCAGCCGCAGGCAGCCACAGGCAGCTGCAGGCAGCAGCAGGGAGCAGCAGGCAGCAGCAGACACCAGCAGAGGCAGCAGCAGGCAGCGGCAGGCAGCGGCAGGCAGCGGCAAAGTTTCAATTTTACAGTATGGTTTCAGAAGTGACATTAGGTCCTTTTTTGGGGTTACTTTGCTACGTTTTGGACACGAAATTAGGTGGTGTTTTGCTGTTCCGGATGTGTTTCGAAAAGGGTGTCTGTTAACATTTACTCTTTATCTAAACTACTCCAAGATCGACAAAACATGATGCTGGCTAGTTGAGTCCCTAAAGTAGCTAAAGGCTGGAAACTATCAACCAATTGTCAAAAAAAACTCAGACCATCATCTGATATATGATATAACTGTCAAAGAACCACATGACCATTCTTCCGGGGTCGGCGGCAGGGGCGGCAGCCCTTAATATATATATATATATGTATATATTATTGTATATATTATATAACTTAAATTTATATATATTATTATATATATATTATCTTAAAATTATTCTGATATATTACTTTATATTTATTTATAGACTCCAAACAAAGCACCGAGGCTTTGGAGTGCCTCAGAGGGCCGCACAGGGACAACTACGAATATATAACGTTATATAGTTATTTATTAAATTTATAATATGATAGATATATATTATATAAGTTATATAACTTTATACTATAATTATGTATTGGATTGACAGGCAATAGGCCTACATCTGGAGGATTGAAGCATGAAAATCCCAAAAGAATCCAAAAGAATCAATCGTACAAAGGATCCTTATCCTGTAAGGTTCTAAAGGTCTGGCGAGACCCTTAAACATGACTAAGATAAACAGTCTCAAACCTGTCCTGGCCCCCGCCGTCGATCACGGGGCGAAGGCGCACCTGGTGCAACCAAGACTCTTTATCTATGATTTTGGAATTATGTGGTTTTGGCATGTTTTGGTAAATTCTGAGATTGCAGTTTTCTGATCTTAAAGTCTTGAAGGAGACTGCAACATCCTGAGAACCCTGCTCGTGGCTTCCGTCGAACGTACAAAGCACCGATACCCTTTGGGCCGTACATCTTGTGAGCTGAGATTGACCTGGAGGGAGGGTCACCTGCTGAAAACAAATGCTAAAGCCAGACTGTGAACAACATGCAATGACAGTCGTCCGATTTGTTAATTGTGGTGTGATTCGTTAATATCTCTTGCATCTCACGTCACTCAACGTCAAACTGAAAATTGGTACTAAGATAGCTGCATCAGCGCTGCGCCAACCTTCTTAACATCAACCGGCACCTGACCATGGAATTCCATCGAAATCATTTGACGCATCGAATTGAAATGTTTCTTTTAATCACGCTATGCACACAGCCTTGCCAACGCTTTGAGCTGCGTCGGTGTGAAAAAAGACCTGCGCCGCAGGAAGACAGGGCACGTCGCTTGTATGCCGATTCATGACATCAGTAATTTGTCCACGCGATATTTGTTCAATGACATTCCTGATTTGTTTTCCAATCCCTGGGGTGTACATACGTTGATCACAGGCATGTAGACAGTCTGTGGCCAATTTCCATTCATTGCAGAGCCCCACGCAGAACTGTTTCGAAGATGGGCACTGGGTTTCAACCTACAAATTTAGGAGAGGACAGTAGACCAAGAGAAAGTAAAGTGTCCGTGGGTGTCTGCAATCCATGTTTTTTTTCCCAAAGTCACCATGCCCTACTGATTGAAGGCAACCTCAATCACAAGCAAACCAAGGCAGTACTTTCAAGTTCAAGCAAAGCCGCACAAGTCTCAACCTTCTAGGCAGGTTCGCGCGAACATTCACACCCCCGATCACGACCGCAACGCTCCACCCAAATGCATTATGGCATCAACGTGCGTGAAAGCACATGCTAGCCAACGTGAAAATTCACGCGCGCCGTTTCACCATGTAGCATCAAAGCGCATGAGATTGCGGCCCGTATGGCCCGTATAGAGTATGGTTTGGGCATTGTTTTGGCAAGTTCAGGCGAAGATTCTCATAAGTCTTAATCCCGATCTTGGGTGCGCTGCTTCCACACCAACCTGAAGTTTGTTGTGACATGTTGTGACTGTTTGTTAGTTTCAGACGCTTTGAGACAACAAGAAACTGATGAGTCTGTGTAGTATCCTTAGTATCCTTTTTACCAAAAAGATCTCTGTGTCAACAGACTAGGCCCAACTGCCCAACTGCCAAACTCGGCCTGCTTCTTCGCACAAATCTGTCCAATCTCTTCAACTGGTTGCATTGTGCCAATCTCGTTGTTAATGTGCATCACTGAAACCTCAGCATGTGCAGCATCGACTCACTATGGCTGTGCTTACCTGCTGACAGCATCTGGCTGCGCGTCCTTCCCTGCAGCAGTCTCTTGTGTAACTTATAAATGTCATGGTGCATACCTCCTTCTCTCACATTGTCTCGACACAGCCACACAAAATAACCTCTGGTCCTGAACTTTTACCAACTATCACCATCTGTCAGATGCGGACCAGAGCCGTATCATCACGGATTGCATTTTCCAGATCCTGTCGGGATCAGTCTGCCATTGCGTCCAAAGACCTTCAAATCCAAATCTAACGCGTTGACATCATTGACTGATCTGTACAAAGCGTATCACAGCAACTGGTCTCCTGAAGATTCACAAGTCCATACTTGTCCACTGGCAAGTAAGTCACACTCCTGGCCAATCCGAGGGTGTCGCGCTTACAGAGCGATTTTGAGCTTCCAAAGACCAAAATCATCCAAAATCACTCAAACAAATTTCAGAGGGTGAAAAGTGAAAGTTTTGAAAGATTTTGAAAGGGTATTTAAACGTGACGGTGCTACCAACCTTTGTCGACTTCCAGCCGGCGGCAGGAGGCCAAAACACATTTGTGCCTGCGCAGCTGTTTGGCTATTGAACATGTTTGAACATGTTTGATCATTATCGTTGTTTTTCCTGTCTGATGAGTTGATGTTGTGTTGAGGCATCTGAACGCTGTCTTGACACCGACTTAAGATTCACAAGAAAAGAGCTATCTTCGGCGTTGAAAGCCCTATAAAGTTCAACGTGCCAGGCAGACTCAGTCTGAGTAGTGACAATGTGCTTTTTTCCAGATCCCTCGTAGAATTCTGCAACTCCTTTGATTGCCATATTGTTTGACCTTAGCGACGAATCAATGATGAGTCAAGGTACGGGTACTGCAAAATTATGGCTTTGTTGATGGTCTGCAGCATGTCAACTGTCCATATGCAGAAAGAAAACCCACCGATTCTCAGTCTTCACCCTGGTCTACAACCAACTGTATAGACTGAGTACAACATCATCTTTCTGTTGTTCCCCAGACCATGATAATCATGATATTTGTGGCCTACTGTGACGCTGCCTTCATTTTGAAGTAAACTCCAGTACTCGCTGAGGTGCTTTTCCACTCTTAAAAAAAACTCCTCAAACCTTCCACCAAACATCCACAAAACTCTACATACAGTGAAACTTTACATCTGCCATTCCCATAAACGAATCTTTAGTACTCAAAGCCATTCTAAGCCTACACACAAACTTGTGTGGCCGCTGCAATTTGCAATCTTTGCATTTTTTTTGATGCGCAATGCGCATGAGAATTTAATGAGAACAGTATTGCCTTGCTATCCATTGCACTGGGCCAGCCAGCTCGGTCGCCCCGGAGGTGAAGAAAATCTCCTCACCAAGCTGGGCCCATGTTCTCCACTACTCACTATGATCACATGGGGAGCCACATATGATTCATATATGATTCATATGATCACTGTAATATCACTGTCTAGCATTGATAGCCTTGAGATTCGAAATGGAATAAATCGCATCGCCTCACCCAAATTTTGACACATAGTTTGACCATGTTTGACACAAGCGACATAGGAATGTATATAACAAATATTACTAATCAGGATATTTATATTATATATGCCATATATGCGTAAATATGTATAGATATGTGTGAATACTGAATAGCTTCCTTTGGGCTGTGTTTGTTTGGTCCATTCTGTTCATATAAAGTTGCAGTGCCTTGGCATCGGCATTGATAAGTCGTGCAACTTGTTCTCGAGCCTTTGGAACTCAGGGTATTCCAAAATGCACAAAACTCCCTCTGCAGCGGAAATCCAAAGTGGCTACTGAATTTACTGGTGTCCTCATGTTCCTCTTGCTTCATGGCAAGTCTTGGTGACGGCCATCTGAAGGGGGTCAGTGAGAGTTTATGAAATTTCTGGAGCCTTCTCAGTGGCTTCTTCGGCATCCCAACCTCGGCACATGATACCACCGTTGACATTGATTGACATGCTAGATTTGATTTTGACATTAATTGATTGACACTGTGCATCTTTATATCTTCAAATCTTCACATATTTTTCACATATTTTTCGCATCTTCCAATCTTCAATCAGCTTCCATCATCTTCTCAACGATGTATAGGTATAGTAGTATGTTATAGTTGACATCATCTTGCATTCATACCTTCTTCCATCCATCTCAGAAATCGGTCTCTGAAGACAGCATATATACTGCAACAGGGTCCAGTGAGTAAACCGCGTCACCGTGCCGCGTCACCATCTAAGTGTGGTCTGCACAACATCCAAAAGATTCAAAACGAAGGGTAAGTTCTGAGCCATAGGAGTGGCTGCGACTATGGGGATTACCAAAACGACCGTGGTAGTATGGAAGCCTTAGTGCACACAGTGCACACAACATTTGCACAACTTCGTGAAGACTTCGTGGCTTCTCCGGCTTTGTCATTCTGCAATCATTTTGCAGATATTGGTGGTGATTCACCATACAAATTCGTGCGGCCTTTGCTGAACATCAAAATGGTCTGAGGGACCCACATTGCGTCCAAAACACGTGGATCTACAGGAGTTGTTGCCTGCAAGTCGTGTTTCTGATTTTCAAAAACCAAAACAACTTAAATTACTTAAATGATCTCAAAATATCTCAAATGTCATTTCAAAATTCATCAAGTTTCCGAGTTTTCTCGGCCAATATCATCAAATGTTTGGCCTGAACAAACTGCTTGCTTGTCATATGGATCTATCCAGCTATGTATTCAGCTGCTGCCGCCTAGGTTTCCTTTCCGATCTGATCTTGTCCTATCCGTCCTATCCCTATCCTGTTCCCACTGCACACATGTACATGTCTGTCTGCATACATGCACATAGCTCGTTAATGCTCGCTATGTATTGACTACAAATTGAACATAGAAGCCAAAATGGCAATTTTCCAATGGGGACATCTACCAAACCTGCGCGCGGTTCTAGAGACCTTAGGTGTCCTGGCAGCTGCATGCGATTGCCCAGATTTTTGGAATTCCGGTACGGCCAACAATTCTATAATTCCTATGTTTGTTTGCAGGCTAGCAAAGTTTTGCACCACAAGCCACATATTTCCCGGCATGTCTTCACCTCCCCATACAATATCCGACATGTCTTCACCTGCATGTCCAAATAAGAAGGTCCGGCTCGATCCTCATATTCGTTCCTGAAGTGCATAGCAGAAGCAGAAAAGCAGAAAGAAAAACCTTGCGTTGGGAGCATTCCTTCATTGCTTGGCATTGCTTGGCATTGCTTGGCATTGCTTGAACTGGTATGAATCCGTATGAACTGATTGCATGTAATTGCGTCAATTTGCTTCAAATTCTTTCAAGTCATTGCTTTACCTAAGCTCTCGGCCAAAGAGAGCCAGTCGAAAAGCGCCGAAGCGTTGGAGCGCTGGAGGCCAGCAATCGTGGCCTGAAGCACGGCTTGACCAAAAATGTACAAGATATGGACAAAATATATCAAAATATGTGCAAAATTCTGTGATACATGACCAGTTTCTGGGGAAAACTGAGGAAACTAAATTCTGACAGACACAGGACACATGCTGAGCCTCGAAAGGTGCTGACAACTTCTGCTCAAACATCCTAGTGCCATGGCGTGGAAGCCAAGGCCATCTAGGCTTGAGCTAAACCGTTTGGCTTCGGGAAAAAGAACAACTCAGAACGGACGTGCAGTAAGAAAATGCCACAAGAATGTGACAAGTCTTGTGAAGTCGTGCCAACTTCGTGGAGCCGGAAAGACATGGAGTAAAAGGAGTAAAACCATGTATTGGCAAAGAAAACCTTGCTATGTCTCCGTCTTCAAAAGGTCAACCCAGAGAGGCGGCTGCGACATGTTTTTCTCCGTCACGCAGTCAAAGAGTCCCAGGCCTTCAACGCCTCGCACTCTGTCAAAGAGTCAAAAAATTGGCAGTGCAAGTGAGTCAGTCAGCAACTTAGTACAGCATGGTTTTCGTTTGGTTTATCATACTTGTTGCTCTGGTTGCTCTTGCTGCTCTGGTTGCTCTGGTTTTGCTCTGGTTGCTCTGGTTTTGCTCTGGTTGCTCTGGTTTTGCTCTGCTAGTTTCCGAAGTGTTTGCTGATGTTTCTGTTTTGCGTACTGAAACAGCCGCGTTATCAAGCGTCAGCAAGTGTTATCAAGCGTGCACCTCTGCAGGAGAAACAGCTGCAACAACAGCTTCCGGAGGCACCTGCATCCTCAGTGAAGTTCGGCACGGCCAGGGTCCAGGCTTTCCAGGGCTGGGGCATCAGGGCTATGATTCCAGTTTGACCCGTTGGACATTCGTAAAAATCGTAGACTGGGAAGCCTGCTGCGTTTCCATGATAGGCTCACCTCGTAAGAAGCCTCTGTCCTCCGAAGAGAAATGCACACTGCAGAGAGAACTCCGACCACTTGAAACTCTCAGCGCTCTTGAAGCTTTTGCTGCCACTTGTTTCGAGGAACAATGTAACAATGTCCTTTCCCAGGCTGAAAATCTCCTTCCATTCACTGCCTGTCGTGAGGAGGTGACCAGAATTTGGCAACGCCTAATTCCCATAGAAATCATAGAATCTTCAATTACATGTTAAAATATGTTATATAAAATTATAGAAATATATTATAAATATATTATATTTGTACAAGTACGCTGGAAGGCTAGATGCAGCACCAGGGAAGGGACTAGGACTCCGGGAAGAGATCTCGACTAGCCAACCACGGGACGCATGCAATGAGCTTCAGACTGTACCGGCTCAAATGCTCGAAGTCTCCAACAATAACCTTGCAATACTGTTCAGCCAGAGTGACAAAACGTCACAAATGCACAAGCAAAGAAACAATTCAAAAACAATTTGAACACAATGGCAAACAAATTTGGCAAACTTATGCAGAGATCAAGAATCAAATGAAGTTTGGCGCTTCGAAGTTTGGGAATGACTTGGCCCAGCAACAAGGCCAGCGACTGCCCGAGACCTTGGCTACACCAACAGACTCACATACCTTCACCCCGAACTCGATAAAAGTAGAAGTAAAGATAGTAAAGCAATAATCAAAAGGTTTACGAAGATGTTTGAGTTTGATATAGTTTGATATAGTTTGATATAGTTTGATATATGTTGATAATTGTTTGATGCACGACTTGTCACAATGTGCTTCGGATCCGCACACAGCCACGTTTATGCGGGTTCGGTCAGACAGGAATCCGATAGGACGCCGCACACCTGGCAGCGTTGGACACGTTAAGTATGAGAAAGCGAGGAAAACAGGGCAAAACATGGAAAAACCATGAAAAAAACATGAAAAACCTCAAAAATCTTCAAAATATAGATGAGAAATCTATAAAATCCTATAAAGATCCTTGCAAAGAGCCTGTCAAACCTAGGGTGAGTTAATGGTGAGCAATGACACAATGCTCACAAACTGCCGTCAACACAGTCAAAGTCCGGTGGCATCCCTCAAATATCTTCAGATATTTCTCTTCTGGGTTGTGCTTTCAGGATCTTTCAGGCAAAGGCCTTTTCAGATCTAATGACACGGTGCGACACCAATTGCGTCCCCCAAGTGTCAGAGATTCATCCATTCAAAAGGATGCTGGATGAATTTGGATGTTTTAAGCAAAAACTTCGTGCAATGCTTCATGGCACACGGCTCAAATGAAGCAAATCATCTCACATCACTTACAGGCTCACGCTCGTAATTCCCCTAGTTACCTCAGTGCACACAAAGCGGTGAAGCAGCACAGGATGTGTTTCCAAATCAGCGTCCCGAAGCATTCCTCCAAATTGTAGTAGGAAAGTTCTGAAGTTTTGAAAGGGTCCGGAATTGTTTGGGTTTTTCTCCGTTTTTTATTATTTCCTGTTCTGTCATTTTCCTTGCTATTTGAAGGTGCCATTTCAACGGTATTTGTAATATTGTTGAGTTTTAATCTCTCATTTTCCATGGAATTTGCAACATTCTGGTGCTATTTGCAGCATTTTGGAGTTGGAAGCTGCAATATCACCGGTATTTGCAGCAATTTTGAGTTCGAACCTCTCATTTTCCATGGAATTTGCAACATTTTGGTCCTCATTTGGTCCTCGAACTGTTCGTGGAACATGGTACTTTGCAACTAGGGTTCATTTAGGGTTGGTTTTAGGGTTAGTTTAGGGTTTCTGTTACGGTTGGTTTTAGGTCTTTTAAGCGTTGGTTTTAGAGTTAGGGTTTGTTTAGGATCTATTTAGGATTTAGGGTTTATGTATCATATGATGCTTCTTAGGGTTTATTTACAATATATATTAAAAACCGAAGGAAAAGCAGGAAAAAGCAGAGGAACAAGTAAGCAGAAAAGCAGAAAAGCAGGGAAAAGCAGAAAAGAGGAGAAGCAGAAAGGCAAAGAAACAGAAAAGCAGAAAAGCAGAAAATCAAAGAAGCAGAGAAGCAAAGAAGCAGAAAAGCACAGAAGTAAAGAAACAGAAAAGTGGGAAAGGCAGAAAAGCAGCAAAGCCAGAGAAGCAGGCCAGCAGGGAAAAGTGGAGAAGCAAAGAAGCAGGGAAAGCCAGAAAAACTGAAAAGCAGAGAAGCTGGGAATCAGAAATCAAAAAAAAACAAAACGGAGCAAAAAAATGGCCCTCGGTTTTGAAATATGTTCGCAATGTTTCACCATATTTCACCATTACTCACCCAGCAGCCATGACCTTTGCGTTTTGATGAGTGGCCTTTTCTACTAGAAAAAAAAAGCCGGTTCTTTGTGGCCTTGATGGTTAATGCATGTTTTGCCTGTCTGACTGTGATCGTTCTGGTACTGAAACTATCAATTTGGGACACAATTTGTTCAAATACAGAACTATTAAATTTGTTCGAATCATTAATTCTGAAGCTCTCTTCTAAAGTGTTTGATCAATGAAAGAACCGCAAAGTCAAACACCCTGTGCAGGCAAGGGCTGGTTCAGTGTTGCGTTCCACATAAGTGGGCTTTGTTGCAGAGCCGCCGAGAAATCAGTAGCACCAAGACGGCTGGCCTGGGTAAAAGGATGTCAGCAAAAGAAAATGAAGGACAAAATGTTTCAAAATGCAGAACAAAGGCCTTAAAGCTGTGGAAAGTTATGGAAAGCTTGAAATAAACAAAATTGCAGAGCGGCTGCCTGCCTTTGTCGGTGCTCCATGTACAGCTCCCTGAATCGCGGCAAGAATCTCTTGCAGAGCTCCAGCAACATCCATAAGCTCTACAGTGGCCTAAGTGCGATTTACAGAAAGGCCACTAGGCGAGGATATCAAACGGGAGTGACGATGTGAAGATGTCCAAACAGTTTGCTAAAATTTGCTAAACACATCTATGCAATGAATGCCGAATCTATGCCGAATCTATGCATTTTTTCCTGAGCTCGGTTCATCTACTTCAGGATGTTGAGTTCCGTCCTGCCGGGCACCAAGTTTCACCGAGTTTTATAGCTCCGCTCATTGCCCTGCACACGTTCATACACATCATACACATTCATAAGATGCTGCCATTTCGATTCATGTCAACAAATACACAGACTATGCATAGAATAAAACTTGCTAGGCCGTCCTTTGCAGCCACATGAAGAGTGGGCACAAAAGGATGAGCAGCTTGTAATGGCCGCAATTTCTTCCCATTCCAAACCAAGAAGCAATGAACTGTTGGAGCAATACCAGAAATGATCTCGACATGGTTCGCCATGGAGGGGACCTTGGCAGAGCTGAGCCTAAAGAACCATAAAGAACCTAGGGAACGAAAATGAACGAAAGCCAGCTGCTCCCTTTTTGTTTCCACTGTGCATTGGTACAAGGAATTTCTGGTTCCGACATGTGTAGGAATATGTATACAAGAGCGAAACAGCTGCAGGAAACTACGCGCGCATTGTCTGAACTCCAAAAACGACGAAGAGTGAATATGCCGAAAATGGTCGCCTATAATTTGTCCTGCCTTCAGCTTCCATAAGTTAAAGTAGAAGAAGTCGATTCGTGCTATGCAAACATGAAATAACCAGGAAAAGGCCGACATGGTCGCATCGTGCTTTTGCTTCCTACGAGCAAGCAAGATACATGTTTGTGTATCGCATTCCAAATGATGCAGCTTGAAACACGCGTGTAAACGTGCCCCACTACCGGTGTACAGCGCGTCAAAGGACGATCTGTCTTCATAGTTTCATCTTTCTCCCGGTATTCCTCTGCCGCCATTCTCACTAGTCCTATGTCATCTATGTCTTTCCCCATCTCACAAGCGCTTCCACCTAGTGCATTTGTCCAAAATGGTCACCTATATTCTTTCCTGCCTTCTGTTTCCACCAGTTAGAGTCGAAGCATACGACTACTGGTAATGAATTTAATACTCAGTCGCTTCGCTCGCAGATCAACTTCAGCCTGGCCTCTGCTCGCTTTCGTAATGCATCGTTTTTCACAAGCAAGCACTGTAGACGTGAGCGTCTAAGTGCGGATCTACACATCACACACACGCCCCGCGAGAACCAATTCCAATGAAGTTTCAGAGCCTCCAGATGCGGCAAAGAAGGCGTGTAAGCGCGGACTCAACGAGCAGCTCAGTGGCCCAAAAGACAGCGACAAGACACCTCGATGCATCACTCCGTCTAGTTAATTAGTCGTATCATAATTGCGTTTCTTGTGGGCAACTTGGGTGTATCTACAGATAACACACTGTGAGACGACCATATATAAACTTATAAACCTTTTCCTGGCTGCATCGTTTTTCACAACCAAATACTGTAGACATGAGTGTCAGCGCGGACCAAATGGGCATCTAGATGCGGACCAGAGGGGAATCGATACCCCACCGTCACACATTTGCGTCACGGTACATGACACGCAAAAACGACCAAAACGCACGCCCTAATCACTACGTATTAACGAGATTTTGGAGGCACTACCCCCCAGACCCCCTAATCTCACTTCGTTCGCATGGGACAACTTTAGCCTAGCCTTTGGCTGGCTTTCGTAATTAACATGGAACACGGAAGCTGAATCACTAAAGGGTGAGTGGGTGAGTGACGTGTAGTTCGCGTATTTAGCCTCTTATGATTCGTTCTGCAACATTATGTAAAAGTTATGATTCACGATTCGTGTGCTGAGTGTGCTGAGTAGCTGGCCTCCATGACATGTAGCCCTGAAGGAGGAAGCTGAGCGTAGGCCACAGTCGGAGCCAAGACGTGCCCAGGCAACTCCTTCCGCTACAGGCTGCCAGGCAGACAGGCAGAGCCAATTCCAAATCCCCAAGAGAAAAGGCCAAAACCGACATGGCAACAGCATGCAACAGCCACCAGTTGCCCCTGACACCACGAGGATTGGTCCAGGACACTAATAGGCATTAACAAATAAAGGCCAGGAATTTCCTCTCATCCCGCGCCAGTCTGATTTTCACCGTGTGCAGCACCAAGTGTCTTTACCATCTTTGCCAGCCCAGCAACCTTCACCAGTACGTGTGCCAAGACGCTGCATGCCAAACAGGCTTGTTGCACCTAAACTTTTACATTTTACATCATAGCTCTTTTACACCCAAATGTCTTGGGCCAGCGGCTATGTCTTTACATCAAGAATGATTTACGCCAAGAAGCAAACTTTTCAAATTGTTTCACATTGAGGCAATCCTCCAGACTGTAGTCTTGCTGTGAGGTGAATACTCATGGTTTTTTTGAAGCGCAAAAGTTGAGTTGCAGCAAAAGCTATGGTGAGCAGAAATCGGTATCGGTATGCGGCTGTAAATTCGCGCATCGCTTTTGTCACAGCTTGCTGTTGAAACAAGCGTGGAGACCAGTGCGAGACTATGTAAGGCAATGTAAGGGGTTCATCCAAGCAACGGAGAACAGCGATGAACAGTGCATGCTGAAACAAATTTGAAGTGTGAAGAATAATTGGAAACGCAAAGCGATGCATCCCAAGATACCAACGTCTGAGAGCTGGTGTAAACTGATGCCCTAAGGCACAAATGATCAGCAAACACGTCAAGAGAACCGAACGAAGCTGAACGAAGCCGAACGAAGCCCAAGGCCCAAGACAAAGACAAAGGATTCCACGCTGTGAAAGAGAAAGAACCTTCAAAGTAATCTGCTTGCATCAGTTACAGGCAGCACTGTGGAAGAGAAGAAAAATGTTTATATTTTGAAGCAAATTCAAAAAGTTCAGAGGCAGCAAGAAAGACGTTGCAATCCAAACTTTGAGGCCACCTGCCAAAGACAATACAGTATACAGTATTTTACAGTAAGAGAAGTCGTGGCGACTCAGCCTTCACAATTTTCAAAGCCACCTAGGGACCTAGAGCCACTGCAATAAATTGCATACAAGCCTACAGTGGATTAAACGTATTCGGTTGCGGTGGTAGCTCTAGGCATCCACCTTGTCCCTGTCAATCCCACCAATATCTGGTTCATATATGTACAAGCTTGCCTCATCTTGCCTCGATTGTTGCAGCTCTTTTTTAGACGGCAAGAAATTCCGCTCTAGCTGGAAACTAGATTGGAGGTGCTTTGATACCTGGATGTGAGCTGCTGTCGCGAATTGCATGCTTTTGATAGTTTTGTCTGAGTGCCTGTAAGGCTTTAAATAGCAGTGGGAAGGTACCGGTACCATCTCTAGAGTACTCTTTGGAAGTGTCCAGGTGCCGTGCACAGCTGAGCATCTTCTAAAGTATGTCTGACCTTTTGCTACAAACGATTCACCACAGAAATCAGTAACCAGTCCTCGAAAAGGCAGGCCGCAGTGAAGCTGCGATTTACAAGCAAGGGAGATGATGATGGAAGTACCACTGTGCCTGAAGATACTGCCGTCATTTAAGATCATAGCATTTTGTTCAAGAATAAACGACAAAAACGAACACCATCTTGCATGTTGTTCATCAAGAGATGTGGAGAGGCAACAGGTTTGTCCAGCCTCCTTTCAGGACAACATAGCGCACCAGTGTTGCAAGCAGCTCAGCTTCTTGGGGACTTGTCTCACCACCGAGCAAAGCTAGGCGCAACGCCTGCGTAGGCAATGCTCTTCGAGGATGAGGCTCCTGCACTGTCAAAGAGTTGAAGAATTTCTGAAGGCTGAAGCCGGGAAGATCAAAGACACGTTTTCTTGCATCACATTGGATCCAGTTGTGGTCCAGGCTGTCTGCATTACAAATGCATTTCGCCAACCTTGAAGAAGTTCTTGATGATGTCGTAGACTGCCTGGCGGTTTTCCAAATGCCTTCTCTTGCAATCGTCTCCGGGTCCGTTTGACAAGAATGTCGAATGTGACTAGATCCCAATCCCAAACCTATTTCCCTACACATTTATACACGATATCTATGGATACCTTAGGAATCCTTAGGACATGTTCATGTGCGAAGTGTAGCAGTTGTTGCCTCAATTCCACCGTCTGCTTGCACGGATGCCCACCCAAAGGAGTCCATGGAGATTCCTTGCGAAGACAAGCGCTCTGCAAACCAGTCGTTGTGAGTCTTTTCGCACCTCAGCTCCGCTTAGAACTCTGCTTTACAGCAGCTCAGGGCATTGATAAGTACACCTCTGCAAATTGTACCATACACATATACATGCGCAATATAAACACGGTGTATACAGTATAATACACTGTGTATATACATTTAATCAATGTCATTTACTTCCGCTCACTGAAAAAGTTTCTGAAATCGCATGATCACACAACGTTGAAGCATTGTAAGGATGAGACCCATGTTCCAGCAAAAAGCCATGTTGCACTTGGGGATGGAGCAAATGGCCCAGCATCACCTTTCAGTGACAAAGTCGGAAAGCGACGGGAGTGCAAGCTGTGGGAAGCAAGCTAAGTCTAAGATAGTGTAAGTCCAGTGCTTCAGCTGCTACGACCTGTAGCTAACATTATCTAACTCTATTCCAAGCCCTCCCTGGACCCACCCGTTGAAAGATCGTCTCAAATTGCTGGCCGCCAGCTCCTCCACATCCTTCAGAGTGTGGCAGTGCCACAAAGCGAGCCTGGAGATGGACGCAGAAGTGGAACTGTAGAACCACATAAATTCGCAGAAAGAGTAGAAACAAATCATGAATAGAATATCAAGGGCAGGACATGTTTCCTTGCGAGCGCCTGCTGTGCATCGTCTGCATGTTTAATCTCGCTGTTGAGCCTTGCAGAAGGGACTTCAATTTGTGTCAAGGTGAGTCAATGGCAAAAATATGCCATGCCGAATCATTCTAGTTAATACTTGTGGATACTTTTGGTACTTGTGGATACTTGTGGACCTTTGGTCGCCTGGTGTTCATACCTTAGAACCTGGGACCCAGAAGTGTGCCTTGAGCTCGCCAGTCGCGCAACCTCTGATGAGCACAGACTTGTGGGCCTCAAAAGAAGAGAAAGGAAAAAGACGAGGAGGGCAGACACAATATTTTCCAGAAAACTGCCTCTTTTTCCATTTCTGATTTGTTTTGCTGGACATATCTACAATGAATTTCCGCCATATCTGGAAGAACATGTCGTATATAAAGAAATAACCACATAATGAATGTGAACAATCCTCTGTTCATAATAAGTTTACTTGGTATATGTTCGGTAAATTTTGCTCATCTCACATTCAAAGAAAAAAGGTGTTTGCACGACTGCGTTTACATGATCTGAAATGGTCCGTGACAAAAATAGTCTACATTTCTGATCCTTCTTTTCTAGTTCTGTAAGGTTCTACGGTACCTGCATCACTTAGGGCAACACCAAACGCATCACTTCAGGCAACATCCAGAAATCACACACTCCTCACACCTTGGACGCTCACTTTGGGCAACACGGATTTCATCACTTTGGGCAACACGGAAAAAAATGTTCTTGTCATCTAGTTGCTTAACTCAGCCATTTAGGGTTTGGTTGGGGGGTTGGGGAGCGATCAGTCTACTTACATCATTACTTGACTCAGCCATTTAGGGTTTGGTTGGGTGGGTGGGGAGGGATCATTCTTCTTACATCATTACTGGACTCAGCCATTTACGGTTTGGTTGGGGGGTGGGGAGGGATCATTCTTCTTACATCATTACTGGACTCAGCCATTTACGGTTTGGTTGGGGGGTGGGGAGGGATCATTCTTCTTACATCATTACTGGACTCAGCCATTTAGGGTTTGGTTGGGGGGTGGGGAGGGATCATTCTTCTTACATCATTACTTGACTCAGCCATTTAGGGTTTGGTTGGGGGGGAGGGATCATTCTACTTACATCATTACTTGACTCAGCCATTTAGGGTTTGGTTGGGGGGAGGGTGGTTGACTCATTTAGGGAGGGATCATTCTACTTAGATCATTACTTGACTCAGCCATTTAGGGTTTGGTTGGGGGGGGGGAGGGATCATTCTACTTACATCATTACTTGACTCAGCCATTTAGGGTTTGGTTGGGGGGTGGGAGGGATCATTCTACTTACATTCACTTACATCATTACTTGACTCAGCCATTTAGGGTTTGGTTGGGGGGGTGGGGAGGGATCATTCTACTTGATCATTACTTGACTCAGCCATTTAGGGTTTGGTTGGGGGGTGGGGAGGGATCATTCTTCTTGCATCATACTTGACTCAGCCATTTACGGTTTGGTTTGGGCAGGGGTGGGGAGGGATCATTCTGCGTATAGAATGACTTGACACAGCCATTTAGGGTTTGGTTGGGGGGGGGTGGGGAGGGATCATTCTTCTTGCATCACTACTTGACTCAGCCATTTACGGTTTGGTTGGGGAGGGGTGGGGAGGGATCATTCTTCTTGCATCACTACTTGACTCAGCCATTTTCGGTTTGGTTGGGGAGGGGTGGGGAGGGATCATTCTGCGTATAGAATGACTTGACACAGCCATTTAGGGTTTGGTTGGGGGGTGGGGAGGGATCATTCTACTTACATCATTACTTGATTCAGCCATTCCAACATGATCTCACGCTATCACATCTTCTCCTGACGCTATCATCATCACCATAATGATGAAGATGAAGATGAATAATACTCGGAAGAAGAAAATGATTTTAACAAGGATGATGAAATATGTCTATTGTTGATGACGACGACGACGACGATGATGAGGATGATGATGTTGATGTTGATGTTGAGGTATCCCGAAGCGATGCACGAGGTGTAGCCCGAAGCGATGCACTCGACGTATCCCGAAGCGAGACCCTTTCCCTGTAAGGTGCGGTAGAAGCAGCCAAGTAGCAGAATCAGGCTCACCGGAGGTAAAAACTCCAGCGAGCTGGAATCCTTTGCATATCGAATATCTTTCACGAAGTTTTCACATGCAAGGGAAGGAAGCCACTCCTGCCTCGTTTTCCAACACAAATGGGAAAGGCTCAAGTCACATCTGTGAATGTCTGTGAATGTCTGTGAATGTCTGTGAGTCCAGGATGCCAATCAGAACACATAAAATCTGACGGCAAGTCACTTCACCTTAAGACCGGGTCCATGAAGATCCTTCTGCTCAAAGTTGAACTCAGCCTGTGAAAACCAAGGCACATTAGGTAGTCGGGTGTGACTTCATCTTGGTGGCAATCTATTTGGTTGATTTCTTTTGGGTCAAGGTTTCATTGGGTTCATTAATTTTAATTATAGAATATTATAGATAAGTTACAGTATTATTTCTGTCATTTTCTGTCTGATCGAAAAATACCTGGGCTCGGCCTGCAAGTCGCTCAACTGCTGCGAGTCATCCAGGAACCAATTTCGCCAAATCGAGACTTGGCTGATCTTCGCCAGCTCGCCCTTGGTCTTCTCACCAGACGCAACTCCAACCCTCAGCACCGAACTGCACTGAGTGGCCCAACAAGCATGCCCCACGAAAAGCAATGAAGCCCTCCTGTTTGGGACATCTTTCACAGCTGAACCTTGCAGGTCCTTACCACAGAAGAGTTTCTTGTAACATGAAAGTTTGTAAAATGCAAGAACTGCAATCGTTTCTTCTCATCTGCTGTTCCTTCAAGTCTTCCGGGTCTTCTTTTCCTTGGCCTTCCATGTCTTCTCATCATCTCATCTTCTTTTCTCCTCAGCCTCTCCTGATCCCCTTCTATAACTTCTAGATAAATCCTTCTGGATTCTTTTTGATTTCTCACTACCACGGAGACCATCGAGTACCAAGGCTCATATCTTTGAATACTTTGGCAGCCAGGCTTTGCATATCAAGCCCTTCGTTAAGGAGACCAGCATTGATGTCCATGTCTTTCTGCAGTATGTTGAATCGCCCAGATGTCGTCACCACTTTGAGAGTAGGCACAAAAGGAAAGTTGGTTATTGCCTGTCAAGCGCTCACAATTGCTCAAATACACAATGGTACCCTACCTTGCGACTGCATTGGTTGTGTTTATTCGACCCACTCGCACTGGGCAACCCCACTCCGTTCCCTGTCACAAAGAAAATGACATTGCAGCCACTTGCTACTTGTCCAGCGATGGACTCCAGGTCATTTCCAGGTGAATCCATGAAGTAGTAGCCTGAAAACAGCGATAAAACATACAAATCAATACAAATCATACAATGTCTTGGAATGTTCTTACAATGTCAATGTCTCTACTAGAATCTCTACAAATCTGCAGCACAGCAGCACAATCAGAAGCAAAGAGTTTTTGGATTGTGCCTGACTCATCCTCACGCACTCGCTCACTGTATTCAATGCATTGATCCAGGCAAACGTCAGGAGGCTTCTTGTGGGATGCGCCCAAGCTTTTGATCCTGATGTCAATAAAATCCAAGTATATAGTTTGGAAGGTTTCGGGCATCATATTTTGTTTGTCTGATGTGCATTTGTGTCTTGTATTCAAATTGGGTGCAATGAGAATTCGAAATATCAATGTAGTCAAAGAAAATGTGACAAAGTGAAAGCAGAATCATAGCCTTCAGTGCTGGCAAGGGTCACAATGTTGTACAATCCACGGAAAAGATTTCCTCCAGAAGGGTTTCCTGCAGCATCTTGACCGTGTCGAGACGCATACTGCTTGTAGCGTTCAGTCCTTAGAACGGAACCGACTCATTTGCCCAAGCGGGAATTGAGCTCCCAAAATCCTCTCCACACCTTTATGGTCTTTATGTTTGCGTCTGTGGACTCTCTGAATGCAAGATCAAGGCAATCAAGCAAAGATCAAGGCACATCATCAGAAACTTTCGGGCTATTTCCAGGCTGCGGCAGTTTGCCAAAACATATGGTTCTGCACCAACCAGCTCTGGAGATTCTGCGAGTAGAGCAAGGCCGCCTGGCACAAATTAGTCCTCACATGTTCTCACTCGCCAATGCTCTGTACTAGTGGGGGGTGATGCAGTTTGGTGTGGTGCTTGAACAATAAAATGACCATTATTCTGAGCACCAGGATGTTTGTTGCGCACGTTATTTCTACTTGCATGCGCAATGTGAGGATGTCAATGGAAGATTTGTCAAGAGTTTGGGATTTGAGGGTCAAGATCCCCCTAGACTTCGGTGCAAGTTGATCTTGGAATAAAGCTTTCGGGAGAATGGCCGAGTAGGATCGAGTAGGTAGGTCTTAGTGAACTTTAACAGGGAACACCAACTGTGTGCAATTCCGTCTGAGCCTTCATTTCTGTGTCACTGTTCCATCTCACCATTTCTAGGTGAATGCTATCTTGGCTGTCTGCCTTTTCTTTTCCAGCTGTCTTCACACATTGGTACATCAGAAACACTTGCCCTTGATCTTGAAGGATTTGAAAGATTTGAAAGATAGCTTAGGAATTGCAGCAAAGCACCACATAAATCTTCTATTCGCACCAAATGCAGCGCCTCTGGTGAGCAACAGCTTTGACACTTCGCCCACCAGTGGGTTTCCAGTGATTCCACTGAAAGCATCAGAGCCTCCACCTTTGCAGTGCATCAACAACTGATCAAAGCCTCTTGACATCTCTTGACCTTTGACCATCTTGACAATGCACTCTCAACGGTTTGTATCTTGACCATGGTTTCAAACTTTCTATTTGCACATCTGTCAGTGTGCGAAGTCTTGAGCCCGAGCCGCACTGCAGCGCGATGCGGAGAGCTGAAACTGGCTGCGCTGTTCGCTTGTACTGGCCAGTTTAGCCGGCAGGATACACAACAAGCAAAACACACCCAATATATATATATATATATATACATACATCCAATTGCATCCAAGTATACACATCCAAACACATCAAACAATCCAGCAATACATCAATCAATATACCATACATATTATAACATTAAATTGCAGCCTATTGATTGATCGCTGATAGCGTCGTGGTGTAACAATATAGATCCGGCCTCTGCAGCTCTGGGAAGCAGAACCTGCTGAACCACATCTCCGGCTCGCTTAAGATCATCGTGCCAATTTCCACTGAGTTCCAGGAATTGATGCCTCACCAGGAGAGTCTGACATAGTCTGACGTCCAACTCAGAACTTCAGAACACACAGAACTCAGGGAACCCACGGAGAAATCCACAGCGCCCATGCGCAGCACATCGCAGCACCACAGAACTGCTCTCAGCTCGGCTCAGCTCGTTGCGCAACATGTGCTGTCGGGTAGTCTGACAGAAATGCCTTCAAGTCTTCCACCGTTATGTGACACTCTTGACCTGGGGCAACGTAAAACACCAAGGATGTAAATCAAATGTAACTGCGAAAGGCAGGTGCAAAAGTCTGCCCTTTTCTTGAGCCATGTGCAATCAGTAAGATCCTTGTGCAGGGGCCATGCTATGAACGGTCGTCCAAACTGCATGCCATGTCCTACAGTAGACAGCACTTCTTGATTTGTGCGTGTCATTCTTTGAAAACGGCACCACACTCCCCCAATGTTGCCAGGCGCAACATTTTTCGGTGGCCGTAGCAAAATGCCAGACCAAAGCTTCGTCGGCTGGTCTTAGAAAGAAAAAAAAAGGGGAGCTCTGCTACATGTCCTCCTCCTCGTTCTCGGGAGTCTCAGCAGCGCCCACGTTCTCCTCCTCAGACACCAGGGAGTAATCATCACTGGTGTTGGCCTCAGACTCCAATGCCTCCTCCTGGAAGCTTTCAGCCTCTTCCAAGCCCTCCGGGGGAGGATTCAATCGCCGTTCGGCCTGGTATGGAGTGCCCAGGGCCTTGGCGACCAAGGTAGGCCGGTTAGCCCATGCTCCAGCCACGGACCCCCGCGGGGTAATCAGCCCCGGGTCCCCTCGTGTGGCCCACTCCCCAGGGATCACCGTAGAGCTCGACGATGCCAAGCCACCTGGGTTCTGCTCTGGAGGTCGCATTGCCACCCTCAAAGAAGCCAGCAGCGGGTTTTCACCAGGTCGATCTCCAGCTCCAGTTGGGATGACCCCCATAGGTCCTGCTCCCATCGACATAGATCCGGCCGAAGTCATCCGGCCTTCCTCTCGAGCATCGATCGGCCCACCAATGCCCATAGCGGCTCTTCCACGAGGTCCAGGTCCAGGTCGGCCACGAGGACGGTCTCCTTCAGCTTCTGCAGGCGCCTGATACCGGCCATACTTATGAGTTGGCCTGCAGTACCCCTCAGCCATCGGCTTCGGTGCAGCTCCAGCCCCGGGCGGTGGATCGGCACTCGACAGGCCACCCTGCCCTGCACTGCTAGGAGGCGGACCAGTTGGAAGCGATCCCGCCATCCCATGAGGTGGTGGACCCGCTGGCGGTGGTCCTGGCATTGCATGGTGTACTGGAACTGCTGGTGGTTTGGCCATACGGTTCATCCAACCCTGCATATTCTGTCGCTGGAACCAAGCCTGAGGTGGTGGTTTTCTTCCAGGTTGGACCATCCCGTGCTCAAACGGAACCCCTGGGTCAGCCTCCTCTTCTTCGGTGCTTTCTCTGGCCCCAGGTGGTGGGTAAGCACTTGACATGCCACCCTGCTTCACCATCGGTGGTAGGTCCTCATCGCTCCAGGTCACCACATCAGGTCGGATCCTGGGCAACCCTGAGCTGTTGGCCCCACTCTGGTTGCCCTCCTTGATCCTGAAGAAGGTGAAGCCCTTCCACTGTCCAACCCCTGGCACAGGCTGGCTTCCAAAGCCCCAGTGGTCGCAGTGCACCTGCCGGGTCCAGGGTCGACCACCGGTGCAATGCCACACCACAGTCGTCCTTTCCGGCTGCAAGTGCTCGCACCTCACAGGGGTGCTTGTGTGCACCGGGTGGTACAGCCTGGATCGGAGTCCACCGTGGACCCTGACCCACCACCCACCAGTCAAGCTGCGCCAGCGGTCACTGCTTCCCGTCGGCAAGCTCTGGAACTCTGCGTCATCCCATGGACCGCTCCACGATCCAGCAGCCATGGCTCCACGCACAGCACAAAGGCGAGGCACGATTGGGGAGCCTGTGAGGCTACAGTCGGAAGTAGGTTCAGTAGGGTTAGCAGGGCCTGGTTCGTTTTCCCTAGGCCTCTTTTCATGTTCTTGTGCTGGTCTTGATTGGGTTTTTTCTTCAACTGGTTTAGCCATAGATGCCAGCCCTTCATGACAACACATCCACGCCGTGAGAGCCGACAGGCTAACAGCTCCAGCAGTTTTCACCAACTGGTTAGCTCCGTTTTGGAGCACCAATCCTCCAAGAGCAACTACCGCCTCAGCCAGGCGACAAAGCCGTGATGTTTCATCCGGCATGGAAAACTTGGTCAAACCTAAGGTCCTACGGAACGACTCCCAGCTAGTCAGCAGCACCACAGGCTTCGTCAACAGGTCGGCCGCCAGCTCTGCTCCAGGGACATGCTCCACATGCCACTCACGAGAAGCCAATCGCTCTCGCAGGACGAAGCTTCTAAGCCTCAGGTGGCGTGTGCGCCAAGGACCATCAGGCGCCAACAACAATTGGATCCCGGACAGGTTGTCGCCTCGGATCTCAAACTGGCCATCGTCGATCATGGCGTTGTGCTCCAGGATGTTCAGGATCACCTGAAGCGACTCGCCCATCGTCAGCGCATCCACATATCCAATGAGCTCGGCCTCCGTACTGCTCAGAGCAGCAAAGGGTTGCCTTTTGCTCTCCCATTGGACCAGAGCGCCACCCCACAATGCCAATATGCCTTGGCAACCACGAAGTCCCTGTGGGGCATGTGAAGCATCCGACAGGAGGGTGAGCTTCATCAGCTCATCTGTTGGCTCCCCCTGATCTGTCAAACAGCTCTTGTAAGTCAAGACAAACTCCCAGGTCTCCTGCAGGTAGCCCAGCAAGTAGCGTCCCAGCTCCTGAACCTTTTTGGGGCACTTGGTCACCCAACCGCTCAAGGTCGATACGGCGAAGGCAAGGTCAGGTCTGGTTCGACCACTCAACCAAAGGAGTTCTCCCAGCAACTGCTGGCACCTGCGAACATCCGCAGCGTCAATGTTATCCTCCACATCCGGAGCCATGTCAATCTTCGGAAGTGGAACTTGGCGACCAGGAACTGGACCATGTCGTTCAAGAAGCTCGCGGGCAAAGTCAGGCTGACCCAAGAGCAAGGAGTCTCCCTGCCATCTGAGCTGCATCCCACAGAACTTCAGCCATTTGACCTCGTTGACCCACTCCACCTCCGAGCACGTCCACTCATCCCGGATTCGGCCCAAAGAAGCTTCAACCACATGGCGAGGTCCAGCACAAAGGATGTCATCCACATAGACAATGAGGAAGCCAAGAGGATCCGCATGAGCATCATCGTTGATGACTGCCTCCGGGTAGTTGGTCTTGGAAACCCCCATGATTGACCAGATATTGGGTTCTGGCGATCTCGCTAAGTGGCACCGGTGAGTTGGAGTCTCCCATCGGAAGGACGACATGCGGCAGTCCCTGAATGATGCCCAATCTGCTGGGGAGGTATCTAAACCATACATGGCACCGTCACAGATCCAACGTTCCTCCGCAGAGACCAAGCCAGTTGAGGTCAAAAGTCGCGGAGGCTCCACCACCAAAAGCTGCCGTCGGGTCTGTGATCTGGGAGCCAATAGAAATGCCCCTCTCACGTCCGTTGATGCCAAGGACCAAGAAGCCCCTGCTGCCTTCCTCAGGACACACCTCAGAGCCGTAGAGTCAACACCACCCGCATAAAGATCTGCGGCAGCGGCCGGTCCACCACCTCCAGGCCTTTCGGATCCATCCCCATTCGGGTCATTCCCATCCCCGAGGTTCTGCACTGCCGGTGATGCTGCTCCATGAGGTCGATGACAACCATGAACTCCACCATCAGGAAGTTGTGAAGGTTTCACATGCCCAGCAGGATGCACAATGTTGCCGCAGATGACGATTCTCGCCTTCCGCTTTCCCGAGGGTGATTTGATCGTCGGGACAATCTTCGCTGGTGCCCTCCATCCGGTCGTAGCCAGGCTCATGCACCAACTGATCCACCTTCACCCGGCGAATCGTTCCAGAGCTCACCAAAGCCTCCATCTCGGCCTGCAGCGGCTCCTTCCACAAGTTGATGTCCTTCTTGACTTCGGCCAGCGACACTGTATAGGTTTGTAGCACCGCTCGAGCCTGCTCAGGTTTGTCCAGAGGCTCCAGATCATCCACCATAGCATCCATACCCTGGGAGAGTGCTGCAATCCTGCAATTCGCGGTCTCCGTTCAAGGTCGAAGTGCTAACCAGTGCCAACTCCTCCTCCAGGCTCTTCACCTGGCCCTCCAAAAACTGCAGCCATTGGCCATGGATCAAACCGATCTCGGCCCCCACAGCTTCTCTAGAGAGTTCCTGTTCCCAAAGTTTTTTCCATCCCCAATGTTCACGATGAGCACTGTCCACCAAATCCTCAAGGTTGTGGATCTCCACAGACTCCCAAGCCCGTTCGCCTGCAGGACCATGCCCAAATTGAGCATCCATATCGTCGAGGTCCGGCCGCCCAACCAAGCCCGACTGTGAAGACACCCGCAATGATGTAGATCCAGCTCCATGCAAGCCCGATGGTGAAGACACCTGCATTGATGTAGTTCCAGCACCATGCAAGCCCGATGGTGAAGACACCCGCAATGATGTAGTTCCAGCACCATGCAAGCCCGCTGTTGAAGACGCCTGCAAAGCCAGAGATGCTAAGCCCGGCTGTGAAGGGGAACTCCATCTCGCAGATTCACCACAAAGGTTGCAGTCTTCGGTATCCGGCTGCAAAAGTCCACAACCATCACATTCTTTCAGTGCCCTTGAAGTTGAGGCTGTTGTGGAAGAAGCTGGCGAATTTGGGGCCCCCATAGCCTTCTTTGAAGCCTTTGAAGTGGGGTTGGACTCCCCCCCTGCCCACATTGTGCGTAGGGCAGGTTCCGCATCCACACTTCCACCTTCGCCCCCATCTTGAAGTTGGTCTCCAGGAGGATCATCAGGAAACTCATCCGGAGAATAGCCCAAGCTGAGCACGTCCTCCCCCAGATCTGCGATTCCAGCCTCCCCCCAAACATCATGGGAGTCATCCAAAGCCAGATCTTCTCGCAGAAGTTGAGGTAGATCATCATGCTGAAGAGGTTGAGGAACCTTCCGGTCTTCCAAATAGGGAGGCTGTTTCCCTGTCACCCTTCTGGTGGAAGCATCATAGAGCTCCATCACCGCCTTCTCTCCTGCCTCTGCCGGGCGCACCACTGCCCGTGCATGTTGGACTTTTCTTCCATCTCGAAGCACCCAGCCATTCGTCAT